GGGTGGGTGGGTAAGGGGATGGATAGAAGGATGAGGGAGAGAGGAAAAATGGGAGCAGATAAGGGTTAACCTACTGTGAGAGAACTATCAAAATAGGATGTAGCACCCAAGTAAATGTAAGCTATTTCTGTTGTTTGTTTGTATCTCCTTGACTCCAGGTTCTAGTCGTCTTGGTAAATATCAGCTCTGTTAGGCATGACTCATTAACTTGGTTCCCTCAACAGACACCGATTACCTACTGTGTGCCAGGTCTGTACCTGGTACTTTGGACACAAAGCTGGACAAGACTCAGTCCTCGGGGCATTCTGGGTCTTCCAGGAGAGTCCGGCCTGCAGCAGATGTGGGCAGGGTTGTGGCTGTCCAGGTCATGCTGCATCTCCAGGGTTAATGAGGGAGGCAAGATCAATTCCAGAGGCACGAGGGGAGCTCATTCTGGAAGGAAGAGTGGGGTCTCACCAGCGGGAGGACGGAGAGGAACAACACAGCCACAAGCACAGAAGGGCAGGGATAGGAGATGTGGGGGGCACCATGCACACAGGGCGTCATGTGGGGCAGATGTTGGGGTAATGAGGGAGGGGAGAAAGCCAACAATGGGAGAAACAATGAAAACCTGGTTTGGGCTGCACGTTCCTGTTCACTGTCTCAGCAACTAGTCACGGCTGTGCGGTCAGCAGAGCACACAGTCCTGCCCCATTTTACAGAGGGGGCCACCAAATACAGGAGGCCCAGGTTGCTGACGGCTCTGCAGCCTGCAGGCCCCTCCCTGTCCTGCTGAGCCTCACAGCCTCCCCGGAACCCTCTCCTGTAGGGAGTCTGAGCAGCCCACTCTCCTCGGCCCTGCAGGAGCTCTGAGTTCTGCAGTCCTCCCCTCTCTCTCCCGGTGACTGATCCCCTGCAGGGGCCATGCAGGCATGGGCCGAGAAGCAGTTTCCTGCCCTTCCAAGAGGCCCCTGACACCTGCCTCCTTGAGGGAGATCTCTCAGAACAACAGTCAGGGCTGTGTGATGAGGCACATGTTGCCTCATCACTAGGGGGCCCAGGAGCCAGTGCCCCACTGCACTGAGCCCTGGCCCCATGTAGGCTGGGCCTGGTCACCAGGCCACAGTCACCTTGGTTTGGGTGGAGGCCATGTGGAACACCCCTGAGCCTGATTGGCTGCTGTGTTCCCACCTCCCAGGTCCAACTGCACCTCCCAGCCCTGCCCTCAGTTCACCCTGTCACCTTCAGGCAGGGTGACTGCCTCTTCCTGGAAGCCTCCCCTGACTCCCCAGCCCTCCCTCCCTGAGATGCTTGTGGCCTCACTCTCAGGCCTGTCCAGGTGGCAGTGGCTTACACTGCCTGACATTGGAGCCCAAGGTCAGCAAACGTCTTCTGTAAAGTACCAGGTGGTCCATATTTTAGGTTTTGTGGGGGATACAGTCTCTGTGCAGATACTCGGCTCTGCCTGGCAAGTGTGAAAGCAGCTGTAGATAATGTGTCAGTAAATGAGCATAGCCATATGCCAATAAAACTTTATTTACAATAACAGTGATGGGCAGATTCAGCCCACAGGCCATCGCTTGCTACATGTATAAGTTGGATCATGTGATGCCCCTTGGTGACTCACAGCTGTCCACAGACCATCCAGACACCTCATGGAGCACCAGGCCCCTCTGTCATTCCTCAGATCTTCTGTTGTCACCAGAGTTGTTGGCAACAGTAACTTGCTGTCATGGGGCACCTACTCTGTGTTGGACCCATGTTTGGCCCTGGAGACACAGTGGGTGATGGATGAGACAGCCATGGCCCCCAGAGCTCAGGTTGGCAAGGGACACAGACAACGATCAAGGGAGGACACAGCAAATGTAAAAGTGCAAGCCAGGAATGAGACATGGATGAAGAGCAGGCTGAGCTGACAGCATGCTCGGCTGGAGGGCCAGGAGAGAATTCCGTGGGAAAGGACATCTGGGGGCTGAGGAGCTTGATTCAAGATGAGGCCCCAGAGGGGTTAGCAGCCATGACACATGGAGTGCTGCGGCCATGTTAAGGGTTTGGATGTACGCCAGGGAGCTTTTGCTGCATAACAAAAGATCCCAAAACTTAGCAGCCTAAAACAACCACCATTTATTTCTATTTATTTAGCTCACAATTCCACAAATTGGCAATTTGGGCTAGGCTCAGCTGGAAAACCCTTCCATCCTTGGCTGGGCTTATTCATCCATCTCTCATCAGCTGCCACTTTGGCTTGGGGCTGGCTGGTCTTGGAGGGAAGGAGGAAGGAATAGAAAGACAGAGGGATGGAAAGGTAGAAAGAGGGAGAGACGGAGGGTGTATGGGTGGATAGCTGGATGGATAAATGGATGGGTGGGTGAATAAAGGGATAAATGGATGGGTGGGTGAATAGAGGGATGGTGGTTGGGTGGGTGGGTAGATCAATGAATGGGTGGGTGAATAGAGGGATAAATGGATGGATGGGTGAGTAGAGGGATGGTGGATGGAGGGGTGGGTAGATAAATAGATGGTGGGTGAATAGAGCGATAGATGGGTGGGTGAATAGAGGGATGGTGGTTGGGTGGGTGGATGGATAAATGAATGGGTGGGTGAATAAAGGGATAGATGGATCGATGGGTGAACAGAGAGATGGTAGATGGGTAGGTGGGTGGATGGATAGATGGATAGGTGTGTGAATAGAGAGATGGTGGATGGAGGGGTGGATGGATAGATGGATGGGTGGGTGAATAGAGGGATGGTGAATGGAGGGGTGAGTGGATGGATAGATGGATGGGTGGGTGAATAGAGGGATAGATGGATGGGTGGGTGAATACAGGGATGGTGGTTTGGTGGGTGGATGGATAAATGAATGGGTGGATGAATAGAGGGATAGATGGATGGGTGAACAGAGGGATGGTAGATGGGTGGGTGAGTGGATGGATAGATGGACGGGTGTGTGAATAGAGAGATGGTGGATGGATAGATGGATGGGTGGGTGAATAAAGGGATGGTGGATGGAGGGGTGAGTGTATGGATACATGGATGGGTGGGTGAATAGAGGGATAGATGGATGGGTAGGTGAATAGAGGGATGGTGGATGGTTGGGTGGGTGGAAGGATAAATGGATGGGTGGGTGAATAGAGGGATGGTGGATGGAGGGATGGGTGGATGGATAGATGGATGGGTGGGTGAATAGAGGGATGGTGGATGGAGGGGTGGGTGGATGGATAGATGGATGGGTGGGTGAATAGAGGGATGGTGGATGGAGTGGGTGGATGGATAGATGGATGGGTGGGTGAATAGAGGGATGGTGGATGGAGGGGTGAGTGGATGGATAGATGGATGGGTGGGTGAATAGAGGGATAGATGGATGGGTGGGTGAATACAGGGATGGTGGTTTGATAGGTGGCTGGATAAATGAATGGGTGGATGAATAGAGGGATAGATGGATGGATGGGTGAACAGAGAGATGGTAGATGGGTGGGTGAATAGAGAGATGGTGGATGGATAGATGGATGGGTGGGTGAATAGAGGGATGGTGGATGGAGGGGTGGGTGGATGGATAGATGGATGGGTGGGTGAATAGAGGGATGGTGAATGGAGGGGTGGGTGGATGGATAGATGGATGGGTGGGTGAATAGAGGGATAGGTGGATTGCCAGATGAGTAGAGGTATGGTGGATGGGTAGGTGGGTGGATGGATAGATGGATGGATGAGTGAATAGAGGGATGGTGGATGGGTGCATGAATAGAGGGATGGTGGATGGGTGCGTGAATACAGGGATGGTAGATGGGTGAGTGGGTGGATGGATAGATGGATGTAGGGCAGATAGAGGGATAGTAGATGGTTGGGTGAGTGGATGGATAGATGGATGTGTGGGTGAGTGGATGGATAGATGGATGGACGGGTGAATGCAGGGATGGTAGATCAGGGGGTGCGTGGCTGAGTGGAGAGATGGATGGATGATGGTTGGAAAGAGAAAATATTGGTGACCATCTGCTGTTGGTAATTCCTTATGGAGCCAGTTTATGGAACTTGAGCGTGTTTCACTGAATCACACTGCTAGGAACTGGTCTTCTCCCTTAACCTCTTAGAGAAGCAAGACTCAGGGTTGTTTGTCACTTGGAGAGCTTTTCACAGGGTCCCTTTTTTGCTTTGGTCCCCAGAATCCCCTCCCCTAATGGTACTGGTGAGAGGCGGGCTGTGGTCCCAGCAGGGAGCTGCCCACAAGCTTGTCCTCAGGGAGCTGCCCACAAGCTTGTCCTCAGCTGTCACCTCAGAAGTTCATGCCTCTGGGTCAGAACAGAGGTGTGGAAAAGCCACCTCTGCCAGCTCAGGGATTTTGGCACTGACGGACTCCCAGCAAGGGCTCTGCAGAGAAAGGCCATGAGACTCCTTCAATGCCTAATAAAATGCACTCATCCCGCCAAGCCTTATTTGCCATTTGAAGCTCACACCTGCGCCTGCGCAGTAAACTGCCCTGTCAGGACTGCGTTTTCCAGCAGAAAGCATGCTTGCATCTCCACACCTGCAAAGAGAAGGCAAAGAGTTTGTCTTTTCTTCCCATTTGAATGTCTGACCCATAGTTCAGCTGGACAAGGTAGACACTCAAGAAACGAGGTCCCTCCTGACCCGCATCTGTGGGGCATCCCTCCCTTTGCAAACTCCCTGCTTGGTTTTCCAGACCGAATGCAACCCCAGCGCCCTCTGGGCTCCCCTGTTCTCCTCCCTTCTATCTTGGCACCAAACGTGATCTACCCCTATTAATGGCAGGACCACAGAGACGAAAACACAAGCAAACCTCTTCATGCCACATCTTAAGTCATGGCGAGGGGAGGAGAAACTTACTCCGGCAGACAGTGTCATCCAGGAGGCTTGGAGAAGGCCCTGCGCCCAGCACATAGCCCCCGATGAAAGAGAACTGGCTCCAGGAACTCCGTTCCTGTGAACAGATTTCTTTCCATAAGTACCTTGTCAATTAAAACCCAAACTGATTCTCTGTTCTTTCTCAACTGGTGTCTCCCTTCCAGAAAGTTCAGCAGTACACAGTCATCGTTCAGGCCACAGACATGGAAGGAAATCTCAACTATGGCCTCTCAAACACAGCCACAGCCATCATCACGGTGACAGATGTGAATGACAACCCGCCAGAATTTACCGCCAGCACGGTGAGTCCCTCGAAACCGCCCAGTGATGCATGGCCTGTGCGGGGCAGGAATGCACTGACGTGCGGCGCAGCTCCCTCTCTCTCTGCAGCTCTGTCTGATGGGTGCTTGGCAGGTAGCATGTAAGAAAGGCCCTGGGCAGCAGGGGCTGCTGTGTGGAGTGGCTCCACTCCTGGTGTGCGCAGTAGGGGAGAGGCCAGGGCTCAGCCAGGGAGGGGACCTGCGGCGGAGGTCGGTTGCCACCTGGGAGGCATCTCTGTGATGTCTGGAGGAGTTAACTGGTACTGTTTGGGCTGATGTTACTGCCACTTTGGGAGGCGTGCGTGTGGGACCTTCTTGGGGGATGCCCAGATGGAGCGTTGGCATGGTGGGTCCATCCTGTGTGTGGAACTTGGCTGACCCTCTGTGGCCCGCTGTTGGCAGAAAGGGGGTCATGACTGGACCCCATACCGGCTGCTTGGGACCTGAGTGACCACTCACTGAATGTTGTTGAAAGTCCACTGCGAGGTCCTGAGCCCCCAGTTCACAGGGGGCCAAACTCTGTCTGGTGGGAACATGGTGGAGACAGGGCTGTAAGGCATGCGGCCCCCGCTTCCTCTGGATTCCAGCAGGGCAGCTGCACCACCAGGAGGGGCCCTTCCCTTGAAATCTGCAGAGGCCACCGCGCCGACAGACATTCGATGGCCCCACTTCCCTGCTGCCCGGCGATCTGGGGAGGTCCCAGCCTCGGCTGTTGCCCTTCTCTTCAACCAGGACCCTCTGTGGTGACTCCCTGGGTCCGTGGGGTGCAACACTGTGTCCCCAAGCTGTCATTTTGGGCCCCTGTAGCAGTGCTGATATCACAGGCACGTGGCCCAGCCCCGGGAACCCTCTAGGAAGGTTTAAGGCACCAGGCTGCGACGTGCAGAGGGGAGGGTCAGCGAGGGCTCCCAGAGTGACCGTGACCCCGAGATGTCAGGATCTCAGGGTTTTCTTTGCCCCTACAACCATATCACCCGCTTCTCCCCCAGGCCTAGGCCCCCACAGAGCTGTGTGTCAATCATGATAGCAATGCCATGACATCAATGACAGCAGCAGCACCAGCTGCATCTGTGGAGCTGCCCCTTGGGCCCCAGGGTGCGGCCAGGGTGCAGAGCCAGCCTCTGATCCCAGCCAACCCCGACTAACCCAATGACAGATGAGGACTCTGGGCTGCGGAAGGCTAAGAGGGAGACGGGAAGGGATGGGGTCAGGAGCAAGGACGGGAAGGGATGGGGTCAGGAGGGAGACGCTCCTCCCTGTGGGTAGGCCGGCTTGCTGAGAAGGCAACTCAAGGCCAGAGCCCCTCACCATGGCACCCGTCCTGCATCTGGGCCTCCTGCGTCCTGCATCCCGGGCCCCGGGCGCAGCTGCACCAGGCGGGGGTGGCCGTGAGCACACAGCGCCATCTGGTGGGAAGATGGCAGATCACAGCGAAGGAAGCCAGCTCAGCACCACTGCGGCAGGGCTGGGATGCTCCAGGCGCGCCCTCAGGCTCCTGGCAGTGAGTCCCAGGCAGCAAGCAGCCAGGGCAACCAGGAGCCCGAGGAGCATTTAACAGGGCGCAGCCCCAGGATGCAACAGCTCTCATACAATTGGCCAGGAAGGCGTTCAGATGGTTTGGAAAACACCCCCTTCTCTCTTGGCTTCAGTCTCTATTTACTCTCTTCCGGCCAATGAGCAACGGGCAGGAAAAGCTCAGGGCCAGGCTCCCGGGGAGTCTGGACATAGGGGAAGCCGCTGCTAACCCCAGGGCCCTGCAGAATAATAACGTCCAGGCCCAAGAGCGCAGCCAGGCTGCACCCACACAGCTGGCCAGGCAGCCCCAGCTGTCCTTCCTCCCTGACTGCAAGAAAGAGAAGGAAGTGATGGCAGGGAGGGAGGGGAGAAGGTGACGCACATTGTGTGGAGCAGGTGTCTCTGCCTTTCTTGGAGCCGGCATCCCTGTGAAGGAAGACGGAGAACCGCAGGATGTCTCTGACCTGCACATGCCTCTGAAAACGGCCAGCCCAGGAGTCACACTGAGCCCCCAACGGAATTCTGCATTTGGCTCAAGGCAACTTGAAGCACATTGCAGGGAAGAATTCTTGCCTCTGTGTCCCCTTGAACGAAAGGTGGGGATGACCTGATTCTCTGAGATGTTGGGGAGCAGAAGATAAACAAGGGGAACTGTGGTCCTAAATTCCGAAATTCAGAGAATCCCATCATTCCATTGCAAGCCCTACCACTCGTCTCTGGTCCCCCTCCCGAGACTCTGGGAAGCCAAGGCAGAGGCCCTTCTAGACCTAGTGGACCAGCCACAAGCACTGACCAGCATGAGCACTGACCAGCACTGACCAGCCACCAGCACTGACCAGCCTCCAGCATTTACCAGCACTGACCGAAAATGACCAGCAACCAGTACTGACCAGCACTGACAAGCCACCAGCACCGACCAGCCACCCGCACTGATCAGCACTGAGCAGCCCTCGGCACTGAGCTACCCTCACGGCCACTGCTGACCGGCCACACCACCCTGGGGCTGCTCCTCCTGGGACTGGGGCAGAGGGTCCCCATGGCATTTATTAGAGAGACACATCCCTGTGCTTTTCCAATGGCTAAGCACAGGCTACTGCAGCCTCATGCACCTCCCAGAGTTGGGCCATTGTCCATTCTTGGTTCCAGAGGGCCTCAGGCAGGTCCCAGGCCCCAGATCACGGGGCAGGGAAATGGCATCTCTTGAGGAGTACGCAGATATGTCTAGGTGCTTCTCAGCCAGTGTCCACAGCACCTCCCGGTCTAATACAGGCTGGGAGAGGATCCGCAGTCTGCTGCATTGGTCAGGCCGGTGAGGTGACGTGCTAGTGAGTGGACAATGGATGAATGACCCTGGCAGGGAGGGTCCCCTCCACCCTGGGGTGGCTTTTCCAGGTGACTGGGTCACATGGTCATGGGGAAGGGGTGTCTGTAAGTACTCGGGGTTAGGATGGCCCTTGGTGTGTCCTTCTGAAGATGAGTGACAGGCAGGAGCCCCAGGACACTGTCCATGCCTCACCGTGGGATGGAGCAGGCAAAGGGGCCAGCAGGATGGCGAGGGCCAGCCACGCTGCTGCGCATGCCGCCAGGCTATTTTTACCAAGCCTAATCAAGAACAATCAGCAGAAGCTACAGAGATGCAGGGGATTTGCATGATCCAGTTCTGAGTCCTAAATGTTAATTAAAAGTTATTTTCCCTTCACTGGCTCTGAGCACGGCTGCACTGCCCACGTGAGGCTGAGCAGGGACCCTCGGCCCTCAGCACTGCCTCCAGCAGGTGAGCGTGGGGTCTGCTGTGCTAGAAGCTGGTGGCCACAGAGGACACAAGCTTCAGACCCTGCCCCAAGGCCTCCTATGCAGGACCACTGCATGGGTCCTGCAGTGAAGTTCTCAGGGACAGGTCCAGCCAGCACAGGGCGACCCTGGAGATCTGGCACCACAGGCCTTCCTCCAGCCCACCCCCCCACCCACACACATGCCCACAGGGAGGGCCCCCTGGCGTCAGGAAGCCCAGCACTAGCCCTCCTCTTGGTCCCTGCCAGCTGCGTAGCCAAGGTCGGATCGCTGGACCTCTCTGAGCAGCAGGATTTCTTTTTTTGTTTTGTTTTGTTTTGTTTTTGAGATGGAGTCTCACTCTGTCGCCCAGGCTGGAGTGCAGTGGCCGGATCTCAGCTCACTGCAAGCTCCGCCTCCCGGGTTCCCACCATTCTCCTGCCTCAGCCTCCCAAGTAGCTGGGACTACAGGCGCCGCCACCTCGCCTGGCTAGTTTTTTTGTGTTTTTTTAGTAGAGACGGGGTTTCACCGTGTTAGCCAGGATGGTCTCGATCTCCTGACCTCGTGATCCGCCCGTCTTGGCCTCCCAAAGTGCTGGGATTACAGGCATGAGCCGCCACGCCCGTCCAAGCAGCAGGATTTCATCCCCGCTTTCCACCTAGAATTAATTCCATCTCAAGGTGTCATCAGGAGCACTGCTGATCTATGTGGAAGTTGAAGACTTCAGCAACATAAATCTGCTCTAAAAATGCCATGGGTGGTGCCCCAGGCCCCCATCCCAGGGGCATGGAGATGGGTGGTGAGCAGACATGGTTCCAGCTTTAACAGACCTGGCATCCTGTCCGTTTTGGCCTTTCAAAGGTGAGGGGCTTGTAGCAATGTCACCAAAACCTTCTCAGCGCAGTTTCCCCAAATGGTAAAGAGGGAGGTCCAGGTACGGTGGCTCACGCCTGTAATCCCAGCACTTTGGGAGGTCAAGGCAGGTGGATCACGAGGTCAGGATTTCAAGACTAGCCTGGCCAAGATGTGAAACCCATCTCTACTAAAAATACAAAAAAAAAAAAAAATTACCCAGGTGTGATGGCATGCACCTGTAATCCCAGCTACTCAGGAGGCTAAGGCAGAGAATTGCTTGAACATGGGAGGCAGAGGTTAGAGTGAGCCGAGATCACACCACTGCACTCCAGCCTGGGAGAGAGAGTGACTCTGTCTCAAAAAAAAAAAAAAGAAGAGGGTGGTAGAAATTATTAAGGTATATTATTGTTGTCATTTAAAATGCATCCATGATAAGACATATTTTGTACTTTGTCATTGTGAATGATCTATTCCCCATCCCAAGGCAAGTGTGAATAAAATCAGGTTAAATATTTTTTAAATAAGAGGGAAGGGAGTCGTGCTGGTTTCCCCAGAGGCTCTCCAAGGGCAGGATGAGTGGGTCCCCAGCATTTAGGACGTGCCTGGCTCAGCCAGTACCTGGTTATCACAGTTGATGTGGAAATACAGATTTTTCTCTCAAAGGGGTTAAAAATGGTTTTGCCAGAGGCAGGGGTGTCAGCTGAACTTAGGAGCCCTGGGGTCTGTGGGTCTGTGGCCCTCATGTTTTTGAGGTCCTTCTGGAAGTTCCCGCCCCAAGCCGCCTGAGGATGCGGCCTGCGGTCCCTCCTCAGAAGTGACACTCCTGACCGGGAGGAAGGGC